CAGAGTAGTAAATTCAACTTGCCCTATCTGCATACAAAGTGCCCTTGATATCCAAGCCTGTTAGCGTGATGCAGTGCAGCTAGGCATGAGCTGATATGTGCTAACAACACTAACTACTTTCACATTAAATACTCGGACATCCGATTGTAGAAGCTCATTTCTATTATATTTTTAAGGGCTATGCCACTCTCGAATTTCTTCCACTCTTGCCCGGCGAATACAAGGGGAGACTGGAGGTTAGCAGCCACGATCTTGGCGTGTTCACTCATGACCTGGAGTTCGTAGCTGATACTGCACCCCTGGAGGAGGCCATTTCATTCGAGGTTCATCTAGGCCAGTCTTCATCTAAAGCGGTGCGGTTTTCCAACCTGACGAAGACGAAAGCCGACTTTACTTGCAAGGTGAGCTTATTTTATTTCCTATTATTAATAAGGCAGGTGGACTGATAATTGCCTGATAATTACCAAACATCACTATCTTTTGGAACAAATAAATAAGGGCATACACTTTTAAGCCTATTCTTTTTTCCAGTTCCTAAGCAAAACTCGGAGTCCAGCAGGTCCTAATCTCGAGACATATTGTAGATACTCACAAAGAAAACTAACCTCGTCGTCTGACTGAATGGACTACGTTGTTCAATGACAGTTACAGCCCTGATCCTTTACACATCGCAGAGCGTATGTAGTCGGTGATGATCACTACTGCCACCTTAATGGGAATAATCTTCAGAGTGTTGAAAAAATGACAGGATCCGAATTTCAGGTCTGGCTGTGTTTGGACGTAGGGTAGAGGATGCAATCGCTGGAACAAGAAATTTTTTTGCATGACGTTTCGGATTCTGTCGAGGATCCTTAATCATCGGTGACCGTAGGATACTGTAAGACACGCACAGATTGCACGCTATTTATATTTTGTAGCGGCCATCCGCGTGCGTACTATAATTATGAGCTCCTCTTACCACCGCTTGGGGTCGCAATTGGTGCGATGATGACTTGGCAGTCCGCTTTCGAGTCATAAATTGCCGCACTTTCGTTGTCCGTGTTGGATGCGGGTTTAATAATTGCGTGACAATTATGTTTTTTTGTCTTCAGAATTGTTGCTGGATCCGGCCCTTCCCGCTGTATGGAGTATGGGAATGGCAATTCGTTGGGCCTGTTGATTGACTGTGGGCCTCAGAACTGTAGCGGTCTAAGTAATGGTTGTACTCAGATCATTACAATCATCAGGCCAAATCCCAGGTTGGAAGTTTTAAGGCAGAAGGCACTTGTGAGAGAGGTTTACTGTATACAAAACTCCCTGTCGCTGTCTCAGGTGGCAGTGGCCACTGGCGAAGCCATGGTTAGTGTTGACTGCCTCCAGCCAGACTTAAGAGAGTCGACTGAGTGTTGTGTGGGATGATGACAGTCGCTTTTACATGACTGGGAAGCGAGTTTAAATGTTCTGTCATTGGTGCGTTGCAATTTCCCGAGGGATGTCGCCTATAGAGGTTTTTACTGCATCGGCCGAAGGGTGGTGTATTCGAGTGGCACTTAGACAGGCGTGCTTATTTGGACGCAAGTGTACACGCGGGCGTGTGCGCATGTGTGTACGTGACTGAGTAAGCTGAAATCAACTGTAGGGGACCATCGGAAAGCCGAAGGACACGGGTACTCTGGTGCAGCTGTT